GGCGCGGGGCCGCGCCCCGGGGCCTGCGCACGCGCCGTCTTCTCTCCCAACGCAATGCATCGTGGGAAGCGTAGTCCGGGGGAGGGAGGGCGGCAGCGAGGGCGGCAGGGCCGGGGCGGGCCGCAGCCCGCCGCCCTGCGAGCGTTCGCCCCCTCACATCCCGCGGCCTCTGCCCGCCTCTTCGTAACCCGCCCCCGCGGCAGGGCAACGCACGGACCAAGCCATCGTGGCCAGATGCTCCTTAAGTATAAATGCACTGCTTTTCCCAAAACTCGCGTGGTTTGTTCTGTAACTCGTCCCTGCCGCAGAGGGGCCCCGGCATCGTCCTGCTTCGGGTCACTGGCACGGACACCACTCCGCAGCCCCAGGGCCAGGCCCTGGGTAATGCAGGTTGTGAAGATAAAGCGTCTTCCCCGGCAGCCAAACATCGAAGAAACAATGAGGAAAGCCAGTGAAGAAACTGTTTCTGTGCTCATATGCATGATTTGGGCGGTGAAGGGCTGCACTTTGAATACGGGGAGCAAAAAAATCAAGCACTGAATGACCCCGGGGTCTTCTGAAAAAGACAAAAGCATGGCTGTAATCATGTTACAAAAGATTCCTGTACCTTCGTGCTTACGCAAAAGGCAAAAAGGGGGTATGGTAAACATAGCTGTGGCCTGTCTAATGTTTTCGTTTTGTTCAGCAGTACCTATCACTGCTTTCACTTGATTCTCAAGCTTAGGGTGTAAGTAGGTCTATTCCGTTTCAGCCACAGAACCTCAGCGGTACCAGGCTCCAAGGAAATGGGGACTAGACCAGAGGTTTCCAGATGTTCCTCTGGAAGAATTCCCTAACTGTAAAATAACTAACCTGTTTTTTTTTATCTTGCAGTGGTTGCTTGTATTATTTTCTCTACGACAGATTCAAAGGACTGATCAGAGCATTTAGAAGTGGGGTCCCAATACGAAGATGGGTTGCATCACCAGAAAGGGTTTCCCATCTCTCTCTCTCGTTCCCCACTGACGGCTACGTGCGTTCGTTTTACCATCTGTCAGTTACAGCACACAGTGATCCCTTCCTTAAAGCAGTTCAAATTGCCATCTTGGTGGAGAACTAGCGTTAGAGGAGGGTCTGTTTTCTGCTTGGTTCATGCGTTGAATCAAATCAGCCACAGCGTGTGTTGAACACCAGAGTCTGGTGAGCAGGGTTACAGAGTAAGACCTTGTTGGCTTCGGTAGCAAAAATACAGATACCTCTGCTACCTCATGCGACCTCACCCATGACATTTCAGGAGAACAGCAACAGAAATACTTCTTTGTTAGACACACATCTGATCTTTTATGTTGTGCTTGATTGAGCTCTACTGGCTGAAACTGATAGGCACAGTGAAAGCTTAGGAACGGGACCTGAACTCCTGGTACTGCCCATTTGTCTACCATCTGTACTAATTTTTGAGTGTGATATCTAGTTGTATACAGTTATGTACAAGAGATTGTGAGCTGAACAGAATGTATATTTGACCCCATCTTGTAGAATATTAAATGATCTGGTTTCTGCCTCTTCAACAGGTCTTCTATGAGCTAAAACATCTATTCTCCGGGACTGATCAGCCAGACAACTGATTGGGATCAAAGCCATTAAAGAACAAGTCATTAAACATTTGGGGACATGTTGCCTCTATGGAGAGTCAGGAATGGCAATTGCATATAGATCATGTATCTGTGCTGGTTTTGGCTGCGACAGAGTTAATTTTCTTCACAGTAGCTAGTATGGGGCTACGTTTTGGATCTGTGCTGAAAGCAGTGTTGATAATACAGGGATGTTTTCGTTATTGCTGAGCAGTGCTGACACAGAGTCAAGGCCTTTTCTGCTCCTCACACCACCCCACCAGCGAGGAGGCTGGGGGTGCACAAGAAGTTGGGAAGGGACACAGCCGGGACAGCTGACCCCAACTGACCAAAGGGATATTCCATACCATATGACATCATGCTCAGCATATAAAGCTGGGGGAAGAAGAAGGAAGCGGGGGACACGTTCGGAGTGATGGCGTTTGTCTTCCCAAGTAACGGTTACGCGTGATGGAGCCCTGCTTTCCTGGAGATGGCTGAACGCCTGCCTGCTGATGGGAAGGAGTGAATGAATTCCTTGCTTTGCTTTGCTTGCGTGCGTGGTTTTTGCTTTACTTATTAAACTGTCTTTATCTCAACCCACAACTTTTCTCACTTTTACCCTTCCGATTCTCTCCCCCTTCCCACCAGGGGGGAGT